AAAATAAAAACTTTTTAACAAAAAAATAAAAACCGACTTCAAACAAAAGCACTAAAAAGTAAAAAATAACTGATTGGTAGTTTTCATTTACTATACATATCTAATTAAATATTTTCGAAGTCGGTGTGCTTTGGCTAAGTGATTAAAGCCTACCTATTAAATACATACCTAATCAAATATTTTCGAAATCGGTGCCAGCCGATATAAAGCAAAGCACACCGACTTCGAAAGTATAATATAGTAAATGAAAACTACCAATCAGTTATTTTTTACTTTTTAGTGCTTTTGTTTGAAGTCGGTTTTTATTTTTGTCCATAGTCATATGTACATCTCGCAGCAAGGATGAATGAGCGTATGGCTTCGACTGCATAATCTATACATATAATAAACTTGTAATTAAGCCGAATCTGTAAATTGAATATTTTTTGGTAAAACTTTGTTGAAATAAACATTATTATTGATACAGAGGCCGAATCTATAGTATTTAGAATTTTTGTCTGTCTGTCTGTCTGTCTGTTTGTTACCGCACGACGGAAAAACCATTGGAACGATTTTGATGAAATTTGGTATGGTGATAGCTGGTTATCCGGATCAATATATAGGATACTTTTTACCCTGGGAAAATATCTCATTTCTGGGAAAAAATCGAAAACTACAATGTAAGAGTATACTAGTATGTAAAACCTAGGATTTTGGTTTTTGGTCATCTGAACGCGGGCGAAACCACAGGCAATGCTAGTACTATATTCCTTCGTTAACTTGTTTTCATCTTTTAGTTAGTTTTTATTCAGAAGGGTTTTTTATTTTTATAATATATTTTTTGAACTTCCCACTGCTCTGGGCACGGGTCTCCCTCCCCCCCAACGTGCGTTCACCTTGTCGTGGTGGGGGGGCTTAGTAGTGCCCGGCAACCATACCGGGCGCGAAGCCAAGAAAGCACAGGGAGGTGGCCCACTTCGGTAGGCGGTGGGAGGTGGCCCTCTTCGGAGGGCAGTGTACCATGCGGGTTGCTCCTGGTACTACTCTGATAGCAGAGTGGACTGTGGAGCAACCCCGTGGTTGTTGTGGTCTGCTTCGGCAGACCTGCCGTCGGGGCGTCGTAGTTGAATGCGTAAGCGATTCTGCGACGCCCCATAAAGACGGGGGAAGGTTTTAGTGGGTAGTACTGGCTTTGCCGGTGAGTCCCACACCTCGTGCGTAAATGCATTTCCCAACGTTAAAAAAAAAAAACGGGTCTCCCTTCAATACGAGGCGGATCAGGCCATTGTCCAACACGCTGGGTAAGTGCGGACGGACTTCACATCTCTATTGAAAACTTGCTAGGTTCTCTCAGAAATGCAGGTTTCCTCATGTTTTCCATAACTGTAAGACTAGAGGTAAACATATTGAAAAAAAACCGAACTATCTTCCCAAATTGTAAATCGATTTTCATGACTTTAATATATGAGTAGAACTCAACAGTGTTAAGATTATATATAAGATATATTATGATTATACATAAGATTAAAAGGCAGTGGTAGCCCAGTGGTAACGCGCTCGCTTGGGAAACCGAGTGAAGCGAGTTCAAACCCCGGGTCTCGCACCTCTGATATTTTCATGTTCGAATCATTTTCAACATGATTACCACTTGTCTTAACGGTGAAGAAAACCATCGTGAGGAAACCTGCATGTTTGAGAGAACCTAACAAGTTTTCGAAAGACATGTGAAGTCCGCCAACCCGCACTTGGCCAGCGTGGTGGACTATGGCCTGATCCCCCTCGTACTGAAGGGAGGCCCGTGACCAGCAGTGGGATGTTAAAAAGGGGTGAATACATACGTAAAATTATACATTTCGAAAAGAAATTCCACTGCACAAAGCGGAACAAGTTATAATGAAGTTAGTGTATTTTTTGTTAAACACTTTCAAACAACACAAAATTTGACCAAATCGGTTAATAAATGACGGAGTTCTGAGGTAACAAACATAAAAAAAAACAGTCGAATAGAGAACCTCCTCCTTTTTGAAGTCGGTTGAAAAGTTAAAATAAACAGTATTCTACATACTAAGTCTAGTTTGTTTGAAATGCATTCCAATTTCACAGCAAATGTATGTCTCACTCGACACCTGTACCAATATAATCAAGACGGTCGCCAAACACAACTTTTCATTTCGTAAACAAAGGTCTTGGGTTCTATCCAAATAAAATAAGGATATTCTATACTTACCTAATTTAGTCTAAGGAACAATATAGACAGGGTGGTATAGAACTTAACATGTAGCTAAACAGAAATATTTTAAAATAATATGTAATACACATAATAAAACTCTGAGTCGAATCTGTACATTAAATATTTTTTGGAAAATCTTATTGAAATAGTCAAATTTATCGATACAAAGGCCGAATCTATAGTTTTTAGAATCTTTGTCTGTCTGTCTGTTAGTCTGGAAGCGTTTTATTTATTATTATTATTATAGTTTTTACTGCAGGAAAATATCAGCTCATCTCTGAGAAATCTGTAGGTGCTAACAGATAAAACGCACCATAAGGAACGAACCCGAGCGGAGCGAGGCTGAGTCGCTAGTATTATAATAAGAAATAAATATGTATTATATACATATTTATTTATTATAATAATAGGATATTTATTACGGTCATAAGTAAATAAATGTCAGTAAGAAAAATTGCTAACGGATTTCATTATACTAAAGGGAAAAAATATTAAAGAACCTAATATTATATTGTCTCTCTTTCAAGGGGAAAAATAACAAGAGTATAAAATAAAAATAGTATAAAAATAAAACGCTTTTCAGAAGATCTTGATCAAATTCTGTAAATATCTCATACTATCGATTCGAAGCACGTCCCGCAACAATGTGCCAAACAAACTACTTGCGACAGTGTCAAATCAAGTGCACTTTCAAAGTAAATTAAGTATAAATGTAGAGTCGAAGTCATGATCTAAGCACGTTTCAACGTAATGTGCTTCGAACTAGAGAGCAAGGTACACATTGTCGAGTGCGATTGAGAGGGATGTGGTATAAAATAAAAGACATCGCGACTTATAGTAGAAGTTAGTTGTATAACAAACTAACTAGCTGTCTTTTACATCTATAGATTATAGATAAATAAAACCGAAGTGTCTGTTTGTAATATCAAAATAACAGCTTTTTACTAAATGCATATGAAATTATATACGGTACTTATAAGAAAAACACAAATTTAAATTGTTTATTTTAAAATGTTTATTATCTACACACAAACACACCCACACACGCATTTTATGATTTGCTAGTAAATACATATACGAGTATACCTCGTGAGGGCCATGGAGTGCGCCAGCGGTATAATAATATATTCTTTGGACCAATTGCAGTATAAAGAAAACGTATATTCGAATATTTTTGATGTATGAGTTTCACGATACAGTCACTTATACTCTCACTTACTATGTGCGTGTACATACAGTGAATTCTTCACTGTAAAACGGCTTAATAGATTTTAGTCAAATTTTAAATGCAGATAGATTGGAAGAGAGATTTATAAAATTACATATTTTATCGACGTGACTATCAAGGGAGTGAAGATGTAGAGAAAAGTACCGTAATCTATTTTCATCTTCCACTTGGACCACGCTAAGTGCGTGCCATATAGGAAAGTCCAACAAAAGTACTATATTAGACCAACTTTGGCTCAATATCAGCTGATTAACTATATATGTAGGTGTACAAATTAATTTAAGTTTTTTATTTAGTTCTAGAAATTTAACTCAAGTATCAGTCCAATTTTCATGATTTTCCAAATTCAAGTAATAACACACACATACTAAGAAATATATCGTATTCATCGTATTCAGCCATTTTTAATGATCTACTGCTGGGTGTGGGCCTCCCTTCAATACGAGAGGAATCAGATCATAGTCCACCACGCTGACCAAGAGTAGGTTGGTGGTTGAAGAAATATATAATCTGCTATAAGCCCTGCATCTTAACTCTCACTGGTCGTGTCAAGTAGTCCCACCGGAATACGAGAGTGACAGGTATAGAGAGTGCACTTGTGTTTACGCGCAGACTTGTGCTCTATAATATCTCCTGCGTAGATAGCTCGTCTCAATGAGATTGGCCGTCGTGACCGAAATCGTTTGGGAGGACATTATTATTATTATCAGATTCTCTCAGACATGCAGGTTGTCCTCACGATGTTTTCCTTCGTAAGTGATTTGTACATAAGAAAATCCTTATGAAACAGTTTCGATCACATTGAACCTGCTTCACTTGGTTTCCCAAGCGAGCCCTTTACCACTGGGCTACCACTGTCTTTATTTATATAGATAAAAGAATAAAACGTTTACGTCAAATATCTAATATTCCAGTATCCAGTAAGTGTAATTTTTGCACAAATTCCCGTAATTTTTCTCTGTGTACCGAACAAATGAGATCGAAACGTGATGATCCTTCTGAACGCGAAGAATATGAGTGCTTCAAATCTATCAACTGAATGTACTGTAGGTGAAAATGATTTTATCAACAATTTTTCATTTTATTCGCAGGAGATCGACCTGTCATGTAGAAGAATTGAAAAAAATATTGAAAAGTTATTGAAGCGCGTGAAAAATTTAAATTTGTTCTGTATGTTCAAAAATTGGATGTATGTATACCACTCAGTTTTTGTTATCACGTAGACGATGTTTTACGATTTATTTTATTTCTTATACTATTTTCATCTTTTAATCTACTTTTATTTCTCTAGTATATAAAAATAGCAGTGCTCGGTTTGAATCTAAGCTCATTATTTTTGCTTCTGATTTATTTCAATACTTTAACTCTTATAGGTGGAATCTTAGAGGTGGAATTTGTTATAGAAAATTTTGAACTATTTTTGGGATTTATATAAGATTCTGTACACCAAATTACAACTCTGTAAAACACAAAATCACCAAATTTGAAATCGAACAAAATATGTAGCGTAGCCTAAAAACAATAACAAAACTTCGGAAAGAAGTACTCATATATAATACTCACTTTGGGGTGATCCCTCACAGGTACGACCACACGCACGCAAACTTTAACGGGTTTGTCTCGTGTTATGTCAAGCATTCTTCTTTCACCGCGCCATTCACCTGTTGAGAAAAATATACGTTATTTTAAGCCAGTAATAATAAAAAATAATATTTTTACAGACTTTAAAAGACGCCGATGAAGAGATTTTGATATTTGGCAAGGACATAGATTTCATTATGGTACGGACTTAGGCTACCGCTACCTTACATCCCCGTCCCGTCAAGTTACAACATTAGTTTCCATTTTTCTAACTTCAATGACGAACTCTTATAAAATCTTTATTCTTTATTTAACCCCCAATGTGAATAAAATATTAGGGGATGAATTTTACAATAATTCCTTTCTTTAGTGCTCATCATACGCGCTTCACAATATATGAAATTCTTTTGCATAATATTATACTTCTAGATTCTTCAAGAAAAGGTTTATACTGCGCTGCGTTTGTTAATTATTAAGTGAATTAAACAAAATCAAACCTCCTTTTTTAAGATTTTTATTAATTTATTATTTGAATTATGAAATAATAACTTTAATGCTATAAAATATTATTAATAATGTTTACATGTAGTTTTCAAAAAAAAGACACTTCTATATTAATAAAAATAATACATAAGTAACATTTAATATGCATAAAAAAGCAATATATAATAACAAAGGTATAAACGTTGGTTGGTATAAACAAATATGGCAAAAAACACATAAAATAAAAAAAATGCCAATTCAAATCAACAATCATTCAAAAAAAAAAAGAAAAAACTGTCTATTCCCGAACACAGCTTTAACCCGCCATATTTAATCCGCATTCGACAGCTGTCATTTTTCCCGCCCACCAGACGCCCTTTGGCGTATATTATTTTTCATTACGCCGCGCCGTGCCCGATCACGTCAAAACTGAAATATGGGTTTCGTAAGTGTTCCATGAATTATTTAAGTGTTTTTATCTTAATTTTGAATAGAAGATAACACGCTTTCTGCATTTACTATGACGTGCGTACTTTTATTTTGAGAAATTCTTTTTTTATATGTTTTTCTTTAGAAATAATTCACTTACAAATATTAAATAACAGAATTATATATCAATAGTGCGGCTTTTTTCGTAGAATACATTATCACCTCCAGGTAAAATTTCTATTAAAATAATTACATTTCTAAGAAATCTATTGTTACTGACACGCCGCGCCGGCGTGTCCGCGGTCGTTGAGGGATATTTGGGTCTAAAGTTGACATAAAGTAAATATAAATATATATATTATCTAAATAATAATCGATATTTTTGATTCTGGGGTCATATTAAGGATATCAAATTAAAAGTTATTAAATTTACAAAAAAGGTACACTGTCTTAAAAATCAGCTTTTAAGTGATTTTATAGTCAGTGTATCTTCAACGTCCCCTTTTTGAAGTTGGTATGTTGGTTCGTATGTTTTTTTAGAATCTAGTCGGCCGAAAGTAGAAATTAATTTTGCATTTTCTGGCTGGTTCTTTTACTCGCTGAAGTGAGCTTATTTATAAAATATTTAAATACATTTATTAATATTTTTAAAAATAATAAAATATTGCGTGCCATTTGCGTGAATTTTGATATCTTTAATATTTGAGGTACTTTTCTTTCATAATATGCCGTTCATTTGTTCCACTCTATACATAGTTGCAAATATTATAATTGATATTTAGAGTTTCAAACTAAAAAGTTATTGAGTATCAATTTTATAAATTAATGCATTTTGTGTGTCAAGTGTGTTTTAAAGTTTCAAGTTAATTAAAAATAAATTTAAAAAGTAAACAAAATATAATACTTTCTTGGATTTCAGTGAATATTTGACATTTTGAAATAAAACTATCTTTTTGGATTTTCTCGCGGATACATTTTGATTTTTGGTTTCCGACGTTTTGAATGCTTTATTTACAACATGGCCACGGGAGAGATTAAGGTTTTAGATGTTTCAAAGGCATAATATAGTTGCTACAAAGAGCTATTTGTTAGTTAGCGTACAAATTCTTTTATACTTTTAAAAACCGCCATTTTTAGATTCATCATCAGACCGTTTGTCATTATTTGTTATTTAAACGATATTAAGTTTATAATATATAATAAGTTTACATTCGTAGTTGCTTCCAATGTGGGCTGTCTAGGACAGAGCATATCGTTAGCTATCAGCCCGCATTAGGTTAAGCGCTTTGATCATTATATAGTAAATAGTAGGTAATACTGTGCTTTATATAGGTCTTGCGAATTTCCTTCCTATTCAATTGTTTATTTGTTTGTTTGTTCCATGAGATTGAAGTAAAATAAGGAAAAGTTAAGTATATTTTAATTTACTAGTGCCAGACCCCTACTTCACTTAGGTATTTTAGTATGAATTTAGAAAAAAATGCACGCAAGAAAAAAAAACGAAGCAGACTCGTACACCAAGCGTAAATTTATATTGTTTTTACTAATCGTATACGTCTCAATACTTCCTACTAATATTATAAATTCGAAAGTTTGTAAGGATGTATAGATGTATGGATATTTGTTACGCAAAAACCACTGAATGGATTTTAATGAAACTTTACAATAATATAGCTAATACATCAGAATAACACATAGGCTACTTTTTATCCCGGAAATATGTACAGTTCCAGTGGGATAGATTTGTTAGATTAACTGTGTTTGTTACCTTTTCATGTTTCAATCTTTCTCATGAAAATAAAATAGAAAAGTAAATTACATAGTTGATCAATGTCTATAGATAATAGAAACAGACCAAACATAAATCGCCAGATAACACATGGAGGAACCACTAAAATAAACACGAAACAATAGCCTGAATACAGCATACCTTTGCTTAGAATATATTAATATACTATATAATATGTATATACGAGTATGTACATTAAAGACAATTGTTGAGTGTTTGATCTACAATTACTTGTATAGCATTGTGATATAAATAACCATTGTCTCATTTCTTGGAAATCTAATACTAATATTATAAAGAGGTACAGTTTGTGAGTTTATTTGTAGGAAGTAATCTCTGGAACTACTCAACCGATTTAGATGAAATTTGCTATGAAGATAGTTTAATATCCTAGGAAGGACGTAACAAAGTTTTTATCCCGGAAGTCATCCCTTAAGGGGGTAAAAAGGGGATGAAAGTTTGTATGAGGAATCAATCATTTCTCAAGTAAAAGTTATGAAAGCGAATCATATCTATGTACTATATATATATATATATAATGTACTATATAATATCTATCTATCTATTCTATTCTAACCGTTAAAACGTAAGGGATGAACCCGAGCGAAGCGAGATGAGTCGCTAGTTTATGCTATTATTATAAAGAGGTAAAGTTTGTGAGTTTGTGACGTTGTAAATTTGGGAAGAAGATAGTTTGAGACCCTGGGAAGGACATAGGATACTTTTTATTCCGGAAATCATCCCTTATTGGGGTGAAAATGGGGATGAAAATTTGTATTGGGAAGCAAGCTAGGGACGAACCCGAGCGAAACGAGGTTAGTCGCTAGCCAGATATAAATTTACTCACCTACGTTATTATTACATTAAAATATTTAGGCTTAAACTAGTAGCTTGTATTGTAGATATAAAATATTCAGTAAAATGATCATGAAGATCCATTCACTGTTCGTCCTTTCGGTGCTTACTTCTCCAAAGTTTTTAATACACTAATTATGTCAATTGTATTGTAATAAAATACATTTTAATAAAGCCAAAAAATGTATTTTATTTATAAATGTATAAAAATTTTAGAAATAAAGTTTATAAAATAGACGAAAAACTCTATACTGTAAAGTACATAATTGGTCGTTTGAATAAATAAGCACTGAGGGACGTTTCGGTGAAGATATCTCGTGGAAAAAATTAAAAAAATAATTAATTAGCTTTTCTTTTTATTCGTATTTTTGTACACTCAATTTAAGTTTTTTTTAAGTTATATTTATACAGTAATTTTTGAGTATTTAAGTAAAGGTTAAGCCACATCTATAGATATAATAAAATTCTGAGTCGAATCTGTACATTAAATATTCTTTGGAAAATCTTATTGCAATAGTCATTATTATAGATATAGAGGCCGAATCTATAGTTTTTAGAATTTTTATCTATTTGTCTGTCTGTCTGTCTTAAGGAGGAAGAGAATTACGGACACACATACACTGCAATTTTATATATCGGACTACTATATAAACTCGAAAGTATGTTATATAATTAAGTAATATTTAATTTATTTATATTTAGTTTCTTTTACTAATAAAAATATATAAATAACTAGCACTCCTCACGGCTCCGCCCGCGTTCAGATGACCAAAAAGCAAATTCTTAGGTTTTACATATTAGTATACTCTTACAATGCAGTTTTTGTATTTTTTCTCAGAAATGAGATATTTTCCCGCGGTAAAAAGTATATGTTGACTCGGATAACTAGCAATCACAATATCAAGTTTCATCAAAATCCTTCCAGCGATTTTTCTGTGATGCGGTAACAGACAGACAGACAGTCAGACAAAAATACTAAAAACTATAGATTCGGCCTCTGTGTCGATAATAATATCTATTTCAATAAGATTTTCCAAAAAATATTTAATGAACAGATTCGGCTCAGTTAGAATTTTATAATATGTATTATCTATACATACATATTATAAAATTCTAACTAAGCTGTTATGTGATACTTATAATGATAATAATTAATAACAATCTCATAACACGATTTAAAGTAATTAACACACAAACAGTTAAAAACAGAGGATAACTTCCTTATACTATTTTCAGAAACCCAACCCCGTTCTCCATACTTTTGTAACACGCACATAAATTGCTTCTAACTTGATAATACAATTCAACACTTGCCAAAAACAAAGTCATATTTTAAATTACGCCTCGCACTCGTTAACTTGAAAGGTAACTAATTGGCACTTGCATGGAGAGAAAATATAAAAACCAAGTAAATTCAGATCTGATGATGAAAAACTTAAAAAAATTGCGGATATTTTAAAAAGCATGTCAAGAATCACCTAGCAATGTTACCAGTCTACTC